CTCTCTCTCTCTTACGATATGCAAAATAACATATAACAATAGTTGAAACTCTTATCAGTTCTACTGGTTTGAGATAAATAACATAGATATTTCCAGTTAACATAAAAGGGATACAGATATTAAGTACACTATTTGAAGAATAATTTCATAAGCATTTATCCTTGCTATGAATAACAATATATATACAATCGCAATCAACAAAAACATACGGATGAATCAGTGAACAATTAAAAAGGAAATCAACATAATAAACATTTTAATTGGCAGCTAATATAGCTTGACTTTTATATTGAATGAGTTTGAAACCCATACCTTTCGACTGCCACCGACACTTTAATAACAAAGAGCGGAGCAACGCCGGAGTTTATATGCTTGACAGCGACGAAAATTAACTGCATACTCGTAATAAGAGCAGGACAAAGAAAATTATCTGCATTGGAATAATTACCTTGCTAAGGCGTACTTCAAATATATAAAGAGTGCAAAAAAATAATACTTAAATAAATTAAAATCTGTTTAATTTCCCAAGATAGGATTTTTTTTATAACACTCTAAATATTTAGAGCTTTTAAAATATTCTCTGTGAAATTTTAGATTTTGTCTTTCGCTTTAACTGATATTATAATCGTATTACACAAGAGCATATTATTTCGATGATTTTATATAAATGTTTAAAACTAAGACGTAAAGACAAAACTGTCCCTGTGGTTTTATGCACCCCGCATAATTGAGCAAAATTTGATCATTTTTTGCATAATTTCTGATTATTTTCCTTTATTATTCTTTGTTAAGATTAACAGAATCGCATAATTTCACATTTTTGGGGCTCATTTTGCATAATTTCATTTTTTTTTTGTGTGCATAAAACGACAGGGACAGACAAAAAGGGATCTGTCGATGCCCCCAGTTTTGATTTTTAAAATACTTTTCTCCTTACAAGTAACTGGAAACCGTATTTTATATGTTTTGCGAAATGCTTCTTGTCTATCTTTGTATAAAAGAAATAAATTAGAATGTTGAAAAAGAGAAAGTATAGTACATTATAAACAAGGGATCAAGGGATCAGAATAAAGAAGAATGAACAATGTTATGAGACAGTTATTGTGTTGATGGTTACAGAAAACAATTAAATAAGTTATGGTCTTTATATAACTAATACGGCGAAAGAGATAGTATAAACTTTTCATGCATAAAAAATAATATATCACATATGTTTTGATATCTATCAGATTACAAAGTATTGATGTTGACAAAAATACATGAGACAGTGCCTTATGTACATGCAGACGAGCCATGAATTAAAAGACAATCAAGATAATAATGATAACTCATTAAAAGTGGCTTACAATTAAAATTTAGATCTTTGAAAGGGAAACACAAATATTGCCACAATTTTATTACAGATAAAATAAGACGTATATGCAAGCTTTCAATCACTGGAGGCGCTTCTGTTAAAGCTGTACAAATGTTTATCAAAATATGATGGTAACTATTGTGTTTATGGCCTTTCATGCATTCTAAGCAGTGGAGACATTTTCCCGTAGTTTTCCATAGTCTTTAGATAGAGCTTCAATGTGCTTCTTTGCACTGTTTAACAACAAGAATGCCCGCTGATATCTGTATTTATCAGATGCGATATTTTTCAGCGAATCAGGCATCACATCAGAACAAACAAACTCTGTGACAGGACTGTTGCTTGTACGCATGATTGTGTCCAGCTTGCACAAAACGGAGTAGAAGTAATGCTTGACCCTCAGCAGGTCAGCTTTCAGGACTTCATTTCCGTCTTCCTCCTCGTAGACTTGTTGAGCGAAAACTGTAAACACCGACACATCGTGGTAGTCCTCGAGCAATATTCTTGCCATCTGAAATTAAAACAAACGAATTCTGTAAAGAAAACTAAAATGTAGGCGAATGTTTGTATAAGCGGAATTTGTAGCCTGGGCAATTGTCAGCCACGCAATTTCTGCTTCGTTTTTTTTCTACTAGTAGAGGACCATCATAGTTGGTACCCTTCGTACACAAAATATGACGTTTAAGGATGGTACTTCACATTTAAACTTTTACAATGATATCTCACCCGATAAGATTTGCGCCTTGCATGAAGAATGACCAGGAACTCATACACTAGGTCACGTATGTCGCATATAAACAACACGATAGAGACTATTTGAAACGACTGTAAAGATTATAAGTGAATATGTTTGAATTTCACATTACATGACGGTGGACATGTTTCATTGTTAGAACAGTTTTTGTCTCTTTTCTGATCTACTGTAAACTGTTGCATGTTATGTATCAGAAGAAAAACAATATAAGTGTATTTCAGTTTACTTGTATCACTTTATGCTATTTGTTTTTAGTACATTGAATGTTAATCAATAAAGCTAAATATTTTTTGCGGGAAAAAAAAAGTTGTGTTTTCACCAATTCCCCACACAAAGTGTGGTGAGGGAGTGTTAATATGCAATGTATTGTCTTTCTGAGAACTTTTTTGTGA